GTAAGCAGTTTCTCTACACAGCCACAGGCCTATGGGAGCAACCACACATCTGCAAGATGCAAACAACATCAGAGCTGTTATAATTACAACCAGCCTGCTGCAAGGGGCGAGATGATGAGAACTATCTGCTGCTTAATTTGTACCATTTTACAGGGAAAACAACTAATTCTCTTCCATAGTACCAGATGCACAGCTCCCACTGCACTGTGATTCCTTGCTGGAGGGTAACCAAGAGCTCCCTTCAGGATTGGTATTGTTAATGCTGTTCTGATGTTAAAGTACCAAAGATCAGCTGAGACACAGGCTGGTATTTAGATATTCATATCAGCGTAAGTTGAGTAGCTTGTGTAAATACCATTCAAGTCATTTTTTTCCTCTTCCTCTACAATTCAGAGGTCTTTCAGTATGGGGTGGCTCTAGAGCTCTGAATTGCAACATTCAGAGGGGAGGTGTGAGAAAAAGCATTACTTAAAATAAGCAGAGGGCTGAACCCATTATCTACAGGGTTGAGGAAAGGACTCTGTTCCCATGGTTCTGGCTGACAGCAAGACAAGCAATGTTCTTTATACAAACTCTAATGCAGGAAGGAGTAGTAAAATCCTAGACCCCGCTCACGAAAACACTTACCCTGGCTTCAACTTGCAGTCCATTCTAGAAGGGCTTAGTATACAGTAATATAATTAGAAAGAAAGGAGAACAACCTAATGATGGACCAGCCCAAGGCACCTGTTTATTTTAACCATGATTAAAAATTCCCAGTCGAATGGCATGTTGCATTAACCAGGACCCGAAATCCTGGTTCACAGGCATTTAGAACCCTCTGGTTTAGACAGATGTATCATTCTGTTGCATCAGTACCTTTCAGTCCCTCACCGAAGACGCGTATTGCCTTCTCCCATAATTACGAGACCACTAGCTTGGGGGTGTGGGGCACAGAGAGAGCAACCAACTCAGAAATAATAGCCACGATGAGAGAATTTGGGTTAGTGTGCATGCTTTGTACCTAGACTTTAGCATTAGGACAGTGTGCTCTTGCCCTGCTGTTCCAGAAACCACTGCCTTGCTGCCTCCCAGAGCAAAGCATGCCTGTCCCTTGCCTAGTCTGTCACCAAGAGAGCCACTCCTAGCTTTTTGCCCATTAACTTTGGCAGTTCTTAAAACTGAAGTCTCACAGTAGCATTGCCTTACAGACCAAGCTGTACAGTGAGATGCTTTCCCTTGAAAAGGTGATGGAACTTTCTTCTGCCCTTAAGGCTGCTGCATAGGTGAGCTCATCTGTGAGAGACAGGACCATTTAGCTCTAGCGCACGTCGGAACAACTACTTCATATATGCCAGAAAACAAGGTATGAGCATGTCTCTAAGACAAATCTGAACAACAGTTCAATACAACGCCTTTCTCCTAGTATCCATTGCACTTCTTAGTTGTACTTGGCTCTATGCAGCTTGGCCTAACCTTGCAGTGAGAAGACTTCTGCATGATTTAAATGTCTGGCATATGGTATCCCTTGGTCAGATCTAAAACTTTTCTCTCCTAAGCTTTACCCTCCAATCCAGATAGTGCAAGCAGTAATAATTCATTACTTGATTATACATTTCTAGTGCAACTTAAGGTACAACTATGAAGCCCTTGCTCTCCTGTTTAAACTCAAGCAAGTACCAACTGAGACCCTGCAATGGCTGAGCTAGGACTTGGGTGTTAGAGAGGAACACGCCAGACTGTGTCTACCAGGGCACAGGATACAGACATGGTTACTGCAACGACCATTCAACCTGATCACGAGTAACTGGCCAGAGCCATCACACCAAGGAAATGAAAGGCACCACTGTAAAGGCAAAGTACTTCAAATGGAGAAGAGGATTTTTGCGGTAATCAGCAATATCCTTCCTTATGCCACACTTTCCTCCCTTTTTTTAATTCAAAATACACCAAGTAACTGTCCCTCTTCCAGCTGCTACTATTCAAAAAAGCAACTAAGTGCCAAGGAGGGGATTTTAAAATGTATGTGCTTAACTCTTTTACCTTGAATTCTGTCATCTCCCGGAAAGATAAGATTTAGTGAAGTCGGTTCTACATAAAACCAGCCTGCCTGAACAAGCCCTCGTGGCCCAAGCCATAGCCATGTGCTTATATTACATACCCGTTGATCAAGGATTTTCCACATGTGACAACAATGAAAGCAATGCCTATTGGAAAAGGGGAGTGCAGGTGGAAAGTTCTTTTGCAGCAAATCAAACAAGGAAGGATTAGCAGAGAAGACTGTTCCATTTTTCTGTCTTTCATCGCAGTCACCTGCCAAGAGAACCTGTAAAGAAGCAAAACTACAAGGAAGAGCAAAATAGGCTGTAGCCACCCAGCTGGGATGTAGCATGGATGCTACTTTTATAGTAATCTGCTTCCTTTGATGCTGCTTCACCCACGCTACTGCTAGCAACTGAAGACCTAGTTTCTGGAAAGCAGAGGTTTAATAAATGTCAAATAGTTGTTTCAGGAGGTTCTGCTCTGTGGTTTCTAGCAGCGCTGTGTGGCAGACCTGATGTTCTGACAGCTTGTGAACACAGCACTAACACAGGGTGCTGGAAAGCCTCTGACTGCAAAGGCTGTAACATTTCAGTGACAAATGAAAGGTTTCTATTTAGCTCAGCAAAAGAACTACGGACATCAAAGAGAGCAGAAAGTCATTAACAGCTGACCACAGCTAAACTATGTAGCAAACCCTCAAGAAAGTGAGAGGAAGAATTGCTAGTGACTAGTTTCAGTTCCTCTTTTTATATCTGAAGGAAGTTAAGTAAGTGACAGCAACACAGTGCCAGCTATACTTCCTCAGGGATCTTTAGACAGTGTTAAAGCTAAAGTGGAACTTAGAAAAAAGCACAGAGAGCGTGGGTAAATTTTATAGTAGAGGTGTCAATTTAAAAAAACTAAAGCCTTTTCTCCAGGAAAAGAGACTGATCTTTTCATTAAATGATATTCAGCTCTGATTTTTCCTCTTTCTCCATTCTCCCCCCAACCTTCTAAGGATGATTATGTTACAGTTGTGAGCAACTGGCAGTACAAGCAGCAGCATGTTTTCTCCTGTACAAAAACATCCAAAGCCCTGAAAAGCAGGCAAGGGAGCAACTACTTAGAGACAGCAGATCACAGGAAGGTAATATGCTGAAGCTCATACCAATGAACTGTGCACTAAGTGAGCCTTGTGAGGCCCCTGAACCCACCCCTCACTAAAACCTCTGAGTCCACAGCAAGCAAAGCTACCCCTTTGCTGCATAGACAGCCTGCACAGAAAAACAGGACATGCCAGCCTCCTTCCTTCCTTCCAGAGGGAGACAGAGGGTCTGCTTGGAGAACATTTGCTTTGCCTGTTTTAAAAAGAATTAGTGGGTAAGAGTGTCTTATCGCATAAACTGTTAGGATAAATTGATCCATCAGCTACAGTTTGTGTTTCTACAAACCGCAGAAAGGCTCCAAGGGTGCTGAAGTCTATTATAGTAGAAGCAGCAGCTTCAGGAAGAACAGTGATCTTAAAGCTGATGCTGCTACTGGTTGAAGGACTTCAGGCAAAGCAAAGCAGTACGTCACACCTAGAACCCACAGCACCATTCTTGGATTTCACATAGAGACTGGATTATTTGTTACCCAGACAGCCTTCCTGGAGGTAACCACTGGTCCTGCATGAACTGAATCCTCTTTTTTCCACAGCACAAGAATAAGAAACGCCGTTCCTCTGCTCCTACAGCTTCTCTGCCCAGGAAAAAAAAACAGAATGGCTTGCTGTTATACATTGCTTCCAGCAGCTGTGCCAGCTAAGAGCACCCAACTCCAAGGGAGCCTCCTGCAAACTGCAAAGCCATTCCAGCTGAAAGGCCACACTGCTCTCTGTCTCCCCCTGCAAGCCAAGGACAGCAGCAGGCAGGGCTGAAGGCTGCTCACCAAAAGGAGGATCAGCAGACAATGTTAAAGCAAAGGAGTGACCAAGTACCAACTGCTACACAGGAAGGGCTCGTGACATTAGTTAAAGCATACTTATTCAACCCAGTCCGGCTCAGCACCATCTGAGCTGAGGCTGGAGAACATCATGAGTGCAAGGTGGCTCAGTGATGTTGGTCCCTGTTAAACGGGAGACCATCTTGCTGGTTTGAAGATTTTTAAACCAAAGCAGCAGGTGTGATGCAACTGAAAACCAGAGGAAGTGGTAGGAGGAATTAAGTGGAGATGGTGCTCTTCTCCAGCTCTGAGACAGGTAGGTACAGTCTTTGCCAGTTTATACCACCTCAAATGCTGGAAGTGAAACCGTGCTGCTCTGGTAAGCAAAGTCATAAGATCCTGTAGCACCCCCTTATCCCAAACTTGCTTCTGCCATTGACAAGCAAGGGTGGCTTCATGCCAACTCGGCCGCTCAAAGTTGGGTAAGGGGTGTTTAAAGGAGTCCTGTTTTTTGTCATTGGTTTAGCTATCCCCACCAGTACACATGGTAGGACAGGAGATGTTTTATAGGACTGGAGCACTAACAGCCTGTGCTGAAGATCTCTTCAGTACCCAAGTGGAAGAGGGGATGATAGGAGGGGTTTCCAGTCAAGTCTTGAAAGCTCAGCTATAGCATTTCACATTGGTCCTCATCAGACAAAGTGCTTTCCTGAAGTCTTCAGCCCTCAGGTATCCAGGCTAGGCCAACACCTAGTTATCACTGGCAGCTGTGAGGATTGGTGCAAAGGTGCCACTGGTCCTATCTAAGCAAATAAAAAAAAAAAAAACCACCAAATGAAAGAGAACGGGAGACAAAAACAAGCAGACCAAAAAACAACTTCCCAAAACTCGCTGGGAAGTTGAGGGGGAGAAAATAAAATCACATCTTGTTTCAAAATTATAAATACTCTCCATATAAAGTTATTAAATAAAATAAGATCCGTCCAGTGGCTGTGGTGAGTTCCAGTGATCCTCCTAAGCAATGTCTGGTAGTCTTTAAAAAGTGATCTTTATTCCCCATCTCTCTTGGCCTTGGTTTAAGTGCAGCAGGGGTTGTCAATGACCAGCATCACGTCAATGCCATACACCTCCAGCAGGTCCATAAGGAAACTGCGATCCCCCTGGGGATCCAGGCCCATGCCCCGTGCATGGTCAGCTGTCAGCGTCTTGTCCTGGCTGGCCGACACCTCCATCAGTGTCTGAAATATGCGGTTGTTCTGCTCCATGAAAAACCTATAGGATAGAGTAATCTCAGGTGATGGCATTGGACCCCCAAAAAGACAGTGTATTTACCAAACAGGCAGCAGAACCCAGAACAGCATTTAAGCCCAGATTTAATCACAGATCCCACCCTCTTAGGCGACTCTCTAACAGTTGTCCACCCCCACTATGGATGACCCAGAATAAACAAAGATAAAGCAGTAACTTTTAGTTTACAGTGGTGCTTCCACCTGGCTGATAGATTTATGGTAGGCATTTCACTCATCAGAAGCAAGGCACCTTATCAGCTAATGTGTACTTTGTGGTAACCGAGTGGGGACATTGGACCTATAGCTCCCGTAATGGAAAGGAGAAAACAAGTGTTGTCATCCATTTAATAAGCCACTGGTAAACAAATTCTGTGTTACTGGAGCCAAATCCAGCAGTGAGAGCTACTTCTTAACCTGGTGCCTTCCTAGGAACACGCAAGGCTGTTCAGAAAGAGCTCTGACTGCATCTGTGCAGCTCAAGGAGCAGAGCTCTGCCCCGACAGCCATTCACGCGGTTTCATCCCATTAATTCTCACCTGCTGCAGACTGTGAACAGCAGCAACAGGCAGTGGAGGTGGCAGGGGCGTGGTTTTAATCTATTTCTGTTGTAATTACACCTCATGCTCTACACCCAGTTCTGTTTCCTGTTTGCCAAGTACAAAGCCAGCCACATCAATGGGCCAATCCTTCACGTGCTGGTCTTATCGCAACACTGTACCTGCACCAGCATGGTACGGTGTCTGCTTCCCACGGACACAGTCCTTTCTTGAGCCAAATGCTCTGGCATGAAAAGCCCTATGGTACTTATGTTTTCAAAAATAGGAGAGGATTTTAGCATCTCTAATTGGGATTTTAAAATTCCCTTCTGCCTCTCAGCTTTTGAGAGACTTTATGGTTTTATTTGGCTTCTCAAATTGAAAGGAAGATGATCTGAAGAGGAAGAGCCACTTTGGTTCTTGGATCCCTAGAGGAAGAGAGCTGACTATGGAATTACATTAACCATGATGCTTCATAATATACCAAACCAGTGCAACATGAAATCAGCGAAAAAGGCTCCCTAAATCTAACAGTGATCAAATATTAGAGGTAGCCACTCACAAGATGAAAAGGTCCTCTTCACAGGAGCTACAATCCTCACCTACTTCTTGAGAATACATTAACATCTGCCTGAGAGAAGGGAGACAGATTAAACACAGATACCTACAGTGAACCTCAAAGAATTATGAGAGGACAAGGATTACAACTACAAACTTCACATCCATTTCTTGGAGATCAGACTAACAGTGTTGCCCTGATAATCTGAGGCAACAGGGTAGTCTTTATAAGGCACTGGACTAGAAAGCAGGCCGTTTGCAGTTCTGCTGCTAATCAGTGGTGAGCCAATGGTGAGTCACAACCTCTGCTTCTCTTCTGGCCTTCTATCTGCTCCATCAGCTCACTGGCAGAGTGACTGGATGTCTGCAGAGTGCCCAGGGCTCTCATACCACTCAGCTACAGCAGAAGCAGAATCTCAAAGAGATGAGCTGAAGCGGTAGGAAACTTTGAAAATAAAAGACAAGAAGGAAAGTACAGAGGAGCAGTGTCCTCTTTATCCCACATCACACTGCTCTCCTGTGAGGGCCAGGACCAGGTGTCTTATTACCTCTGGTCATTGAGCCGTCGGTACTTCTCCTTGTCAGCATTGTTGATTTTCAGGAGCGGCTGCAGATGCTCGTGATGCGTCTTCACATTCTGGTTGTCCACATAGACATCATAGAGATCGCGTTTCTCCTCAAAGATCTTTTCTGTTGTACCTGTCAAATCAAGAGACGATTTTCAGAGCAGCACATTGGTTTCCCAGCAGACCAACTGTTCTCTCCTGCTTTTGTAGTTAGTCATTCCAGGCACATCGTATTTCTCATCAGTTTTATCCCACAGTCTGGTGTCTGAAGACATTTTGCAGCCTGAAGTTAAAAGCGTCATGCCTGATCCATCATACTTACAGGCCACATATGATACTTCTGTCTCCAGCATTTCTATGTCTGCCACATTCACGTAGAAGAACGGTTTGGACTCTGGGACAGTTCCTCCAAGACCAGGCAGAGAAACATTGGCAAGGCAACAGCAGCAATACACTGTGGACAAGAGGAGTACATCCAGAGATGCTGTCAGTATTCCCTCGAGGGCATCCTGAGCCCCGCTTACCCAATTCTCCTGCACGTTTCTATGGTTAGAGCTTTGAAATGCCCCTGAACGCCAGAACTTCTCAAGTGGGGACATCCTGGTTTGGATGGGATATAACCAGTTTTCCTATAGGAATCCCATGTTCTGGATTCCACAGACTCATTCAGCACTCTTACTGTCCTGTGCCGACAGGACCTGTGTTTGACAGTGCTAGGTATGTTCTTACCCACAAGACCTGAGGAAAAGCATTTTGTGGGAAATGGGTAAATGCAGGCTGAACGGTATCTTCACAAGGAATGGCTGTGATGGATTTTGAAGACCTGCAGGATGTCTGTCCCCTCAGTACCCACAGCCATTTCTGCAGCACTTCAGCCTACCACATCAGAGCTCCGTGGTGTCCCTGGAAACATACCTCTGTAGCAGACAACTCCAACTGGGGGCGGTGAAAATATCAATATGCGCTTGCGCAGCAGGGCAAACTTCCAGAGGACGAGGATCTGCTCACCGAAGAATTTGATGAACTGAGACATGCAGCCAGCAGGGTGTGTGATCTGCAGGTGGAGGGAAAGGGAAGAAAACAGCTCAGAGGTGAAACAGGGACACATGCACAGATGCTAAGTCTAAATGTGGGAGCAAGACCAGCTCACAGCGATGAGAGAGCTGCAGCTTGTAACAGTCCAAGTAACAAAATCTTACTGAAAGCAGCCTACAAAGCGCTGGAGTGACTGCTTATGTAAAGAAGTATGAGACTCCAGCAAGGAGCAGCAGCCCACTGCCCATTCCTGCAAGCCTCAGAGCGCCTGCCTCACCTTCATCTCTGGGTACATGTATCTGTGGATGGACGGCAGCCAGTGGACAGGTTGCTGAGAGGTAGGGGTGCCCTTGCTATCCGGGAGAACTCCTTTCTTGTCATCATAAAATGCCTCTAGATGGGAGTAGTGCCCTGGCATCTCCAGCTGGTGTCTGGAAAAGAAAGGAAAAAAGGGCAGATCTGTAATGTCTCCAGATTCTACTATTTAGTGCCTTGCCCCCTGCCAACATCTGCTTTCCCAGCCAACATCTGCTTTCCCAGCCAGCAAAGGAGCTCTGGGGTGCTCAAAGTGCCTCAGCTGCACAGATTTACCCAGGAGGGCAGCCTAAGCATGAGGACCAACACCAGCTTTCACTGCAGCCACAGCACACAGGCAGGACTGAAGCAGACAGTGAGCTGATGTATGCACAGGACTGATTCTGCTTTAAATATGCTCAGGCAGGAACAGCTCCCCATGCTACCATCACCATTTTCTGTGCCAGGTCCACTCAAGACAGCTGAAGCCCACACCTAGCCAAGACCACCATCGTAAGTTTAGAAGCCTTCTGTGAGCCCTTCGTAAAATGGTTTTCAGGAGAAAAGGGGAACTTCTTGTCCTCTCAACTCTCCCCTTGACACTTATGTCCACACAAGATAAGTAAGGTTTGGATAGCATTTGAGTAGCCTGTTAGCAATGAACAGGCTGCTGCTAATCTGTTCCTTGTCTCCTTCCTGTTGTGAACGTGCAACTCTTCCTGGAGAAGTGGTCACTCAAGGAAATCATAGCTCGACTTTGTAGCCAAATCCTCACTCATGCCTAAAACATGGAGGCAATGTAACCTGTCCCAGATAGGGAGTGGCCAGGCCCATTCCCATGCCCAAGGGCACTCACCTGACCTGGTTCTCCAGGAAGTGCATGTACCTATACAGCAGGGTGTAGGAAGGGCAGAGAATCCCCACGGACTTCATGCGGGCACCACGCTCCAGCTCGCTCTCCACAGGCATGTTGGCAAAGCAGGCCAGGCCAAAACAGAGCCCTTTCCGGAAATAGCTGGGGACAAAAATTTGACACAAAGGTTAATGCTAAAAAGAGGGAAGGGAAAGATAAAGACTGCTAAAAATACTGATTTGGGAACACAGTTCCTTCTTTCAGTGAACCCTCTGCAATCACAGCTTGCTATTTGAAGGGCTGGGGAAGGCCTTGGGTGTCCTAACCCTCCCGGGAACAAGACAGGACATTTAAGGGATGAGTTTCCAGTTCCTCTAACCACTAAAGCCTCTACCAGCCATGTCACAGGCTGGTAAGGAACACAGGTAGGGGAATAACTTGGAAAGAAGACTATCAGAGCATGCAGGACCCAATCAATGCAGTGTCCTTTTTCCAAGAAAGGCCTGCAGTGCACATAGTTGTGAGTACAGCCGAGTTACCTAAGTCATGTTTTGGGTGCCAGCAGGTTGAAGCATACTCCATCCAGCTGAGTGCAAGGGTTCAGTTCACATGCCTTTGAGAATGTAACTGTTGTTCCTGACCAGAATGAATTGTGATGCTGCAATTCACTGCAAAACACTGCTGCATTGCGACACTGGGTTGGTAAAAGGACAGGAACGCTGAAAATTCCTAGCTTATGTCTTTCCACTGAAGGAAGACGAAAGTGAGCAAGGACTGGTTGTCACAACATTTAAAGTATCCAAAAGCATGGAGAGGATTAAAAGCCTGTTTCTAAGTCCAGTTTTCTGCAAAATCATTTCCATTTCAGTTCTGCCATTCTTTCCCCTTCGCCCTAGGCCCCTGCTGGCAGTCCCAATAGTGGCAGTGTGGTATGATTTGCCCAAAACGCAATAAAATTTGCACACCAGTGAGAAGCTGGCCTGCCCTATTCACCAGCTGACCTCCACAGCCACAGCTGCCATACAGCAGATCCCATACTGGTACTTGACATGATGTTAAGAGTATCTGAAGAGTATCTTTAGCTCATGTTTATGCAGGAACTTAACTTCATAGGTGGTATTTTTCTTGCACATTCTGAATTATGGGATGGTGACGTAGATGTACAGCTAAGAGAAAGAAGCAGTAATAGAGCTCAGACATACTCACATGAAGTCTGACTGGATTTTGTGAGACCCGCTCGCCATGGATTTGAATTCCACACCTTCTAAATCAATATCTTGGGGCAAACACCACTCCACCATGTTGCCTGCAGAGAAGCAAATTCACGTGGGTGAACTTCAACACAGTACTCGTTTCTAAAGGGCAAACACCAGCAACACAAGTTGTTGCTTTTACATCACTGGGATGCCAGTAGCAGTGCACTAACGTAACTCCTGAACTCCTAAATTGTCACAGGCAGTAGCTGACACACTGCACATCATGTGTCTCGCAAACGTTACTTGTTGCAGCAAAACACCCAGAGATTGCAAAACTTCTGGAGCCATTTCTGAAGACAGTGCTATCTTGTGGGTTTATCCTCTGCACAGTTAATCACAGAGCAGCTGCAATTTTACCTGACAGTGGATGAGCTAAGGTATTAATGCTGTTAACATGAGTATCTGATATAGGAAGAACCCAAAGTACAGACTGCTGCTCTTTAGGATGAGTTTCTGTGGTAGCTCAGACCACCACCAATGTTGTCCTTTGGCTGTGTTTGGCAGGGCTGGTCAAACAGGACCCCCTAAGCCAGCATCCCAGCCATCACTGAAATCTCTCATGTTTAGTTTAGGATAGGAAGAGTTAGCTGAAGCTCTATATGGAGGCTGAGGTGATCCAAGTAGTGCAACAGGCTTGTGCATGCTCGAATAACCAAACAAAAAAAGGACACAAATTAGAGCTAGATCAAGATTAGCAAACATCTGTCACCTGCCAACCCAGCCAGAAAGCATGCAGTTGTTCAGGGGAAAAGGCCACCTGAGCAGCCTGATCCTGAAACAGATGATATCAGAGGAGTCACAGAAAGTCTCTGAAGCCAATGAGGTCCTGCCCAGCCACAGTTTACCACAGACAAAATGGGGACTTCTCAGGCTTTCTCATGCTGGCACTTCAGAGCCCAACCTGCTCATCTGGACACTCTGGCTGCACGACGATATGCTCCAGGTTCACTCGCTGAGTTCCTGTTCTCTGCCAGCCTGCCCATAGCAACAGCACTTGAAGTAACGCGACTTCATTTTAACAAATCAAGCAAACACTCTCCAGTACAGTGCCACAGCAGACGCACCGTGAGGATGCTTTCCACTGGTACAGCCCTTTCACTGCCCTTTGGGGTAAGCACCCCAGCTGTGCTTGCACTTGGAAGGGCCTAATGCTCAGCCAAGACTTTTATAGCTAGTTAAATATGAGGCCTGTCTTTTGAGTTATTACTCATACCACACAAGTAGATGCATGCACTCTCACACCGGATTTGGGCTTAGCTACTGACATTTAAATAGGCTATTTTTCTTCTCACATAGATGCTGCATTCAGCAGACCTCCCCCAACTGTGCCTGGCGAGAACTTCAAAAAAAACCCAGCAGCATTATAAGCGTGGCAATGGGAGAAGTTTTGGATCCACTTCTAGCGCACCAGTAGACCTCTGCCGCAGAGCTGGGCTGCCTGGGGATCCGCAGCAGCCCTGCGACCCCAAGCACAGCTCTGTGCGATCGCACGCCAAACCACAGAGCCCCGCTGTAAAGCGTCCTCGCCTCCACGGCATGTGAAAGGCTGGCAGAGAAAGCCAGTGACATCATGTCAGCTTGCGCGGTCCCCCGTAGGTTTTGCATATTATATATAGATGTTGGCTTTTGTTGTTTGGGGTTTTGTGTGTGTGTGTGGTTGGGATTGTTCTTTTTTTAAAGGCACAAGACCCTTCCTTGAAAGGTCGAGGAAGTCACCTCTTGAGACTGTTGCCTCTTAACCACAAAATTGTGGTTAAGGCCAGATCTGCTTTTAAGTCTTGCCTTGCAGAGAATCACTTATTGGTCAGTACCTATAGATTAATAATTCAACATGCAAGACCGCCACTGAGCAAAGGAAACGGTTTGGCTTTATTCAGTTTGGTCACACTACTGCCAGGTGCAATACCCACCATGGAGGTGTTGAAGTGGACACGGCCCAAACAATGCCTGTTCTGCAGCAGCAAGGAAGGGAAAAGACGCCGTGAAACAGATCCTTACTCTACGCATAACCACAAAACCAACTCGCATATCACACAGCTATAATTTTTTTTTCTGGGATCTGTCACAAGCAACCCACACCTGCGCTCCTGGCAGCTCCTCACGCCACCTTGCCCTGTGAACACACGGGCGACGTGGCAGCCGGAGAACAAACGTGGAGATAAAAAAAAATATATCAAGAGTCGTTCTGGCGAAACAGTAGAGCAAACAAAGGAGAGACTTCACCCAGACGTGATAGCGACTGCCAGCCTGCCTGAGGAACCGGAGGAGGGAGCAGCGCTGTAGAAAAACAGGAAGCATTGCACTTCCCCGCACAGAAAGCGGCTCTCATGCACGCAGGAAACTTTCCAAGTGAGAATCACCCAGCCTGGAGGGCAGGCGAGTGGTTTTGCTGAGTCAAATCTGCAGACCTGGAGATCTCTTGGGAGCTATCTCCCTGCTCCAGGCCAGGTCAGAACCAGCACTCTGTTTCTGGTGTGCAAAGTTAAGGATGCTCTTTCTCTTTCTCTTGTGTTTTCTCTCCCCTGGATTTCCACATCCTTACAGCAATGATGACGGCACTAGCATTTGGTGGTCATCACCTGGACCTCCTCACCAGTTGATGCTTCCCAAGATCTTCAAGGTTCCCGGCTGTGCAGTGCCACCATGTTGTGCCAGGACACAAGAAGTGTGAAGTGTGACCTGGCCGTCACGCTGGCTCCATTTCCTGCTACCCAAGATAGCACTGGGTGTTCTGTACTACCTGCCCAAGGGAACACCTGCGCTAGGAAATTCAGCGGCCTCATTACAGCCCCTTGTGACCATGTGCTTTAAGGGGCAGTATTAATGCAGACCTGCTGCTTGTGCTTTTTGAAGTGTCAGAGCATTCCCAACGCGTCACACCCTGAAGGAGGGGACTGCCAAAGGGCAGGGAGCAAGGAGAAGACAGCACGGTTGGCTCCTGGGCTGCCACCATTCTGCACCTAATTCACAGTTCACTTGCTGCATTAGTGCAAGAGCCGTCTTTGTAATAGTAGTGAAAAGAGCTCCTTCTCAAATACCACGAGGTTCACCATGCTGGAGGCGAGGCCAGCACCACTGATTAGGAGCTGCCTCTGCCTCTTACATTTGGCTACTCACACAAACATTGACAGAGTCCTGGGAACACCAAAACCATAACAGTGCTCTGGCAATCCCATAACCTACCTCTGTGGACTCATCACGTGCAACTGCCAGGTACACTGAGCTTGTCTGCTTCAAGCCCTTCTAAAGTTAGGAGGAAAGCTGTTACATCCTTTATTAGCATAGTAACCGCTTCATCCTTCTCCAGTAAAACATCTTGCGCCCAAATTCTTGCCTGTGTTTGAGTAGACATTACCTGGCACAATGACCCCACCAGCCACCACCAGAAATTTTGCCTTTGTCATGCCCGAGCAAGCTACCGAAGGAGCTCTGCTGTGCTTTTCCTGGGTGGGATCAAGCAGGTTTCCTGCTCACTGACTGGATGATCTCCTTTAAGTCACACACAAGGACCAGACACCCTTAGGAACATTCCAGAAATCCTTCACAGCATCTGATGTGATTGACCCAGGAACTCCCATAACTTCTTTCTGACCCAAGCAAGTTTACACCACTGCGGCTTCAAGATCTTTTTTCCAAGTCCACATCCTCCATAGGGCACTTTGCCCTCCACCTGTGAAGCTGACACTTGTCGATGTGTTCCTCACAGTCTTACCATGCTCCTTACATTCAGCATCCATGTCGAGTAGCAGCAGGAGGCTCAACCTTCCTGGACTTGACAGACTACTCCAAGGCTGATGACACGCAGCATTAACTGCACATCAGATGTGAGAAGAGCTGTTTCCCAACTTTCCCTGGACTTCATTCAAAGCAACAGCTGGTTCAGACAAACTCCTGAGAAAGTTCAGCTTTCTGCCAACCAAGAAAATCTCACCATTTTGTAGAAGGCATATGCTGTCAGATTGAAAGACAACCTGCCACAGTCATCCAGACTCTTCCATGTTTTGGATACTTATGAGAAACACCTCCTCTTTCTATCTCCTGTTGGAAAGATGACATCCAATCTCATTTTGACTTCTGATGAGTCAAGAGCCTCTAGACTGAAGACACCTCTCTCTGGTGCAGTATGAGCTGAGTAACTTCTCAAAAGCCTTTGCTGTTTGGCAGTGTGCATTTCTGACAGCCCACCACACCTGGGGCTCTGTTCTCTTCACTGCTTCCTTGGGATTTTCAGTTCAAGATCGGGATTCAGTCTTCACTATCGGGGTCCTCTGGTGACCATGATGTCAGTCATGTCTCCCTTCCACTGAAGGACTCCACCGTGCCTTACAGAGCTCTTTCCTGCCTCCAGTACCTTTGCTATGGATTTGCTAAGGAAGCGTCTGTCTACAGAGGAGAGAGGAGCTCGTTCCCAGTCACTTCCTACACTTTTTCATAATACCAAGCCTTTCAGCTATGCCCCAGTCTTGCCTTTGCACCCCAGGTTGGTGCCAGGCAGCCAAAAAACCCAATGATCTGTCTTGTGATATCAGACCACCAAGCACAGCACCTGTGTTAAGATGCGAGGTGGGTGCCGACTTTCTATCTGTGTCACGACACCCTGTTTCGTGGATAGCACTAGGGCAGCAGCACTAAGAACACACAGTTACAATGTTTCCCAAAGTGCCACTTTGCAAACTTGAAATGAAGGACTTCCGTCAGTGAAAGAAGCGATACACCACCACAGCCCGACAGTGCCTAAGGAGACGGATGTGGCAGTGAAAGGCAAAAAATACATTCCCTTGACCCTCTCCTCTGCCCTCCTGGATCACAGCACTCTACTGCGAAGGACTAAGAGTCCTGGAGATCCCACCAGAGGCCAGTCTCTAAACACACGGGTCACCAAGAAACACACAGCTGAGCTGCTGCTACTGCTGAGACTCATGCCCTGCACCCCTGCCAGATTTACACCTGCCATACCCGCCACCCGTTGCAGACAGCAGCAGGCAGGGCCACGCAGCGGAGACAGAAGGATGCTCTTGAGATGCCACCAACAGGTTGGTGGCCCCCAGGCAGCGCTTGGCCCGAGGCCTGGACCATGTGTGGGGTGCAGGGGCTGCCCCAGCACTGTCCCAAGGATCATTGTCCCCTGGATCTCTGCCCCGTGTCCCTGCCCGGTCACTGGCTCTCCTGGGAGCGGCACCTTCCTCCCATCACAAGTTCTCCTGGGCGGGATGGAGATCAAACGCAATTCTACTTACGCTCCCTTTTCGGCAAACCCCTCCGCG